AGGAAAAAAATTAAAGGAGATAGTTATTACCTGCATTATTGGATAACATGATATTTATGTTATTACTGGGATAACACTACTGCTGGGACACTGCTGGGTAATAGTGATATTGTGTAACTTACTGTAAATCACTATGATCCTTTCTGCAAGGGGCGAAGCAGGCAATAGAAGTAAAGAATTATTTTGTTATCCTTACAATAAAGGTAGGTGGGTCACAAAGGTGGGGACACAAGTTGGACAGCAGAGCCCCAATAAGCATGGTTAAACAGCAAATTGACCACAAGGTGTAGGGAGGAAGATGGAGAAAAGGACCACAAGAAAGACATGGGAGATAACATGAAGGTCAGAAGAACCACAGAAGAGACTCAGAACAATGAATGGACCGAATGGCCACTGGGGGATAAATGTAATAATTAGGAGAAGACAAGAGAAGTCAGGAGCAAAAACCTAGTCAGGAAAGATAAAAAGGCAAGAGAATGGCAAAAAGACATGGTACCACATATTGCAATGGAAACATATTCTGTAGTAAATTGTATAGTATAGTATAAGTATATAGGGGAAATTTAGCCAAGTTTTGTTTTCTCCTAAAAAGTGGTGCAAAAATTCAAAAGTAGAGAAGTAAGGCATTACTAAAAAGTACTTGCTGGTTCCACTGGTGATTGGAACACTTTTAGTGATTGAGACCACTCTGAAAATGATACTTCCCTTAATGTTGTTTTTCTCTGGCAAGCACAGCATCGATACTCCAGTTATTAAATAGAATTTTGTCATTTAAAAAGTGAAAAGCATTTCCATCCTGGCACGTATTTATCACAAGGCCTTGTGACTACCCAATAAGTGGAAGTGGTGTGTTTTAGTACAATCATGATAATTGCATGGTGAAAGGGCAATGCAACCACATTGCAAATCCTAATGCTACAAAAATGTGAACAACTCTGCTATAATCAGTATTTTGATCACTTCAACTAGTAAAATGTACCCATCTTTTATCAGATTAGTTGAAACAACAGCAGGGAGCAGGATGACTACTCAGGGCAACTAAAAGCTGAAGTGATGCGAAGATAGATTAATTATTTTTTTCTAATAAATGCACTTTATGAAATGGGCTTTTATTCACCACTGATCAGTGAGCTACCATAACAGGTGAGATACATACTTACCGTATATAAATACACATTCAGAAAAAAAGGTAAGGGAGCCTAGTAGAATTCAATCACTTTGAATTAACATTAAATTCCTGGCAATTCTCGCTGCAGTGAATACCCCTATTCAGTGTTCTGTAGTATAGTTTAACTTTTTACGTTGCTAACATTGTTAGCTCGTTTGTTTATTTATTTACTTTAAAACTTCTAGATTTCCTTCAAGTGAATGGTTAACTAAAAACCTAGGAAGCCTCTTTGCTATTTCTGAGTAATTATGAAAGTGTAAATATACTTTATGACGGATACCTGAAAACGACATTTTAGTACGCCATGGTAAAACCATGTTCACAAATGAATACAGCATAAAAATGTATTTGACTGATGTTTTGAGGAAACAGCAGCCTGCTCATGTATTTGGGAAGACTTCTCATAAAGTAACATATTTTTCCTTTCTTCCCATCATTAGCAAACATTCATTGACTGCTAAATTGTCCCAAAGGGAGAGGTTGGCTCATAATGCCAATTACTTGAAACATTTGAGTTAAGAGCTGGTGGTGATCTAGTAACAGGAGTGCAAGGTTTAGAAATGTCATTGGATTCAATGATTCAGCTGGGAGGAAAAGGGGATTAAAGTAGGATACCA